ACACAGTTACAACTTCTGTGGGGTGTGAAGAAAAAGTAGTGTAACTAATTACTGTTGCCAGAAAGTAATAAGTAAAGTAACCATATTACTTTTGAAATTAGTAACTAGTAATGAGTAATATTACATTCTTTGAATAACTAGCCCAACACTGGCTGAGACCGTATGGGGTGGGTAGTAATATCTTGCTTGTTTTTTACCGAGCCACTCTTGAAAGTCTTATTCATTACGGAATCACAGTCTGGATTGGAAACTTGTCTATTCAACTGAAAAACAAATTGGCTCATCATATCCACAAAACGGCTATGAAAATCATAGGAATAAAACCATATGAGCTCATACAGACTTTATATTAACAGGCAGTGGTGAGAAGAGCAATAAGTATCAGCACTGATTCCAAACATCCTCTTTTTAGCAATTATCAGTCGCTGCCATCGGGAAAGAGACCAAGAATGCCAATGTGTAAAACTAATAGACTGAAGCTTTCATTTGTTTCTGCCTCGATTAAAAATGCTGAATTCTACCAAAAACAACGCACCTATAGCATATTAGCACTTTACTGTGTTTTGCACTGTAAATATTTTACATAGACACTGTTGTATTTTAATGTATGGTTTAATTTGTTTTAATTTGTTTTTTTATTTATTATTATTATTATTATTATTGTCTGTTCAGAACAACACCGTAGCACTTTGCCCAAGACATTTCCTTTCGGGGACAAATAAAGTTTATCCTTATACTTATGACTCTTAATCTTGATTTTTAGGTTTTTAACAAGTTAATCCGGCGTTACAAGTACCTGGAGAAAGGTTTTGAAGAGGAGATTAAAAAGGTAATTTGGACTTTGCCTATAAGATTTTAACTTTCTTGAAGACCAAAGACCCAGGATTTTGTGACCTAAAGTAATACTTCTGAATTCCACCCCCCTTCTCCCCAGTTGCTCCTGTTTTTAAATGGGTTCAGTGAGTCTGAGCGTAACAAGCTTGCCATGCTCACAGGCATTTTACTGGCTAATGGGAACCTATCAGCTTCAATCCTTAGCAGCCTCTTCAATGACAATTTGGTCAAAGAAGGTACATCTAACATTTGGCCATGCTAGGTTTTCTCTGATTTCCTCTGTTTTTGTACTAAATGTGGTGTTGCTTTTAAATAGGTTTGTCTCCGGCCTTTGCTGTGAAGCTGTTTAAATCATGGATCAGTGAGAAGGACATTAACTCTGTGGCTGCCAGTCTGCGTAAAGTTGGCATGGACAACAGGTTGATGGTGAGTCTTAATGTGTTTATAGATGGCATGAGTGAATCTGTTCAACGCTGATTGTACTGTTATGGCTAACATTTATTTTTAACCGGTTGTTTCTTCTGTTGCAGGAGCTGTTTCCAGTGAACAAGCGAAGCTATGACCACTTCTCTAAATACTTCACTGATGCTGGGCTTAAGGAGCTATCTGATTTTGCACGCAACCAGCAGTCGTTAGGAGCTCGCAAGGAGCTTCAGAAAGAGCTCCAAGAGCAGATGTCTCAAGGGGTTTCTTTTAAAGAGGTCTGTGACGATCCTGAACCAAGTTATGTTGTGATTCAAGACTAGCAAACTATGGCAATAGCTAATCTTCGTTTTGTCTCTTAGATCATTGCATACGGCAAGGAAGAAATAAAGAAGAGCAGCATCTCTGAGCAGATGATGATTGGTATCGTGTGGACCAGCGTCATGAGCTTAGTGGAATGGAATAAGAAAGAGGAACTGGTCACTGAACAGGCCATTAAACAACTGAAGGTAAGCGTTGTTCATGGAAGAAAGTAACCATAGATTTTAGACTCCAATGGGTTTAACGGGTTAACATGTCTGAGCCTTGTTTTGGCCACTGAGAAACTAATTTGCTTTTTTTTTTTTTTTATTGTTTTCAGTCAATACCAATTTCAATGTATTAAGCACAATTTAAAAACACTACTGTTGACCAATGTGCTGTACAAAGTAAATAACAACCTTTAACAGAATTGAGACAAAAACAGTCACAAACAAAACGAGACCTAGAGCTAATCGATTTTTAAGTCCTGGATAATAAGCCACAACAAATAAAAGTGATTTTAACCTAGATTTAAAAATGCATAATGTGGGAGCAGTTCTGATTTGAGTAGGTAGACTATTCCAAAGTCTTGGGAGCGGTTACGGCAAATACCCAATTCTCCCCTAGACTTTAGTCTGGTTTTAGGAACCACTACGTGCCTTAAATTGGCAGACCTAATAGCTCTTGCTGGTTGGTGGTCTATCAACAGATCAGAGAGGTATAAGTGTGCTAAACCTAAAAAAACCTTTTAAACCCTTAAAGTGCAATAAGAGCACTACATTGATTACCCGTGCGCTACAGGATTCAAGCTCCCGTTAGCACTCTGGCAGCTGCATTTTGAAACATCTGAAGATGGTTTAGAGAAGATTGATTGTTCCCCCATATATAGAGAGAGTTACAATAATCAAGCCTTGTGGTGATAAAAGCATGGATAACCTCATCAAAATTATATAACACTTTCAAAATTAGTAAAAGAAAGGACTTCATATTAACCAGGGTTAGCAACTGGAAGAAGCTTGACTTGTTTATCAAGCTTTAAAGCACTGTCCAGTAAAACACCCTGGTTTTTCACATACAGCCTGACGTAAGGTGCCAGAACACCAAGGTTTAAGTTTGGTATACTCTGGGTATCAGAAGGGGTAAACGCCTATCTTTTTTTTTTTTTCTTCTCTCAGACTTGAATAATTTTGGGGACATCCATGCTTTAACATCCAAGAGGCAAGCGACCACAGGGTCTAATCTAGGTTTCAGAGGAAGATATATTTGTGTCATCTGCATAACAGTGGTAACTTGTACCATACTTCTCAAAGATAGAAGTGGAAGCATATAGAGAGAAAATAACATGGGAGCTAGAGTAGAACCTTGAGGGACCCCACAGGTCTAAGGGACCGATACGGAGTGAAATTGGCCAATATTGATTGAGGAAACTCCTGTTAGTAAGATGGGATTGGAACCAATTTTGGGATGAACCACTAATGCCCACCACCTGTTCTAACCAGGACAGAAGAACGTTGTGGTCTACAGTGTCAAAGCTCAAGTCTAAAAGTACCAGTGCTACAGAATCCCCAGAGTCGGTAGCTAAAAGAACATTATTAATCCCTTTTAAAAGGGTTGTCTCAGTGAAATGAAATTTCCTAAAACCTGATTGAAACGCATCAAATGGCCTTGTTTGTATTATGACCAACTTAATTCATGACTTTTGGTTCTGTTTCTCGTTCTCAGCAACACAGCCCCCTGCTGAAGGCCTTCACCACACAGGGCCTGTCTGAGCTGACTCTGCTGCTGAGAGTTCAAGAGTACTGTTATGACAACATCCACTTCATGAAAGCCTTCCAGAAAATTGTTTTGCTGCTCTATAAAGGTAGCATTTCTCAAAGGCGTGATTTGTGGTGCTTCTAGAGAGCTTTAATTAGGATGGTCTCTAAACCTTTTCTGATACTTTACTCCTTCTTTAGTGGAGGTTGTGAGTGAAGAGGCTATTCTTAAGTGGTATACTGAAGCTCACCTAGCCAAAGGAAAGAGTGTCTTCCTGGAGCAGATGAAGAAGTTTGTGGAGTGGCTGAAAAATGCTGAAGAGGGTGAGTATCAATCCCAATTAAACATGATGGTTTCTTTGTTTTCACATATTAAAGAAATGATACTCTTGTTTCAGAATCCGAGTCTGAGGAGGAAACAGATGGAGACTGAAGCCAGGTTGCTTCATTTTGGAATGGGAAACAATAGTTCTGACTGTAGATGATTCTCTTGCATTCAAGTTGACTGGTCTAGATCACTTAAGGGCTTAACTAACGCAACTGTTTTATAGTCTTTTAAGCAAGAAATGTTACCTTTTTGAGGTTGCACTTGTAGTCATTGCCAAGGAAGAATGATTGTTCTCCCATCTGTGGAACTCTTCTCTAAGACCTTTTTAAATGTTAGTCAAATTGTTCTGGATGTTTATGTACAGGGCCACCATTGTGACTTATCTTTTCTCTTTTGACTTTTACAAAAAATTTAAGAAAATAATGCAAGTCTGTCTTTAGGAGTTCTTTTAATTCTTGAGGTGAAAGTACAACTTGTTTGTCCTCCTAAATGAGGAGGAAACTATTTCTTTTGGCACTGGTCATGTTAATGTGGGGTAATTTAATGTCTCTTGGTAAATGAGTTTAATTCATTGACTTAATCAGTCCTGTTTGAATGTTAGCATAAGTAGTGGAGTTTGTGTTTACAATTACTTATGGAGCACCATATTTATGAAAGCCATAAACACAGCAGGATCCAAATTTATTTAAATGTAAATTTATTTCAGTAACCCTTCACAACAAGGTTTCATTTGTTAGCATTAGTTAACTATATTAGTTAACTTTAACACCTTTAATAAAATTTGATAACGGTTAATAAATGCTGTAAAAAAAAATATATATAGTCTTGTTCGTGTTATTTGATTAACAAATAAACCTAATTGTGAAGTGTTACCATTATTTCTGTGTAGAGATGTAAAGATTCATTTGATTCACGATTCAATTTTCAAAAAAAATTTTTTTTTAAACCAAATTAGACAAGACAAATTATAGATGAAAAGGTGTCCTTTTATTATTGCTTGGACAAAATGCTGCACATTTCTTTGTGAAACAGAAATATGTCAAATAAAACTAAATTGAAGTTTTAAAACGAACCCCAGATCCAATCAAATAAGAAAAAAAAAAACCTCTTCATATAAACAAAGGCTTTGCCTGTGCTCTTTGCATTCAAAATGAAAGGCAACCACTGTATTTGAATCCCAATCCAAACAAATAATACATGCAGCATGAGCAGTTTTTTAAATCTAAATTAGTTTGTATAATTTGACATAAAACAAAAACAGAATGCTCTGGTTTTAGTTTTGTAAAACTATTACATAAAACATCTGCACGAAACAAAGACAGCAGAAGCTCTGAATGAGATGCAGATTCACTCTCTGACAGCAGGTGGCGCTTATGGAACAGCAGCTATACAGCGTTTCTTTAGTTACCACTGTAAACAAAGCAGCGGCTTATAAATACTACTATGCAACATACAGAGACCAGATGAAAAGAAAATACCATCTAAACTTTTCTAAAGACCGTCAGTTCCCCTCAGAGATCCATTCATATAAACTCTTACTCCCAACTGAATCGCAATTCGTTTAACATCTCAACCGATTTGAATCGTCACATATTTGTATCGATTTTCAACTCTCTGAATCGTTACATCCCTATTTCGGTGTCCCTGCTGCTCAGTGCTTCTCATTTAATGTGCTACTTGTTGCTAGCATTGTCTTGTGCTGGTCCAGTGAGGTCTTGGGCTTCACTAATTTCCTGCTCATCATCTTCACAATTGTGAAGATCTTTGCCTAGAACACAAATGGTTTGTTTACAAAACAATAGCTACAGTTCTTTCTGATGAGTTTCACAAATTTGTTACAGTAAAGTACAGTAGATACTAAAGAGGGAAAATATATTTCAGTATCGTGGAATGGCAGTTTTTCAACATAGAAATGTCAATGTGCTTTACTATGTTTCTCACTCCGTTCTACTGTTAAAAATGACATCTATAAATGTTTGCATTTTTTGAGTTTAATTTCATCAAAACTAAATGTATACATTTTATGGAGGAAAAAAAAAACTTTCAAGTGCAATTAACTTGTGCTATACTGTGGAAATGGTGAGAGTGTGCTACTGCGATCATGTATTGATGTAAGCTGAACAAGTTCTTGGTATGCAGTTCGATTGTGGCGTCCAGTCAGACTGTCTAAAACATGCTTACCTGATTAACTTCTCTGATCAGATGGATCAGGTTTGTCATTGAGAGCTTTAGAAGTTTCATCTACTTCCATTTCCTTGCTCATATTTTCAGCATAAGTCATTTCTTGCTCTTTGTTCTCACCGTCTTCACTGTCTCTGATTCTCTGCTCAGAATCATTCGCTGGAAAAAGTAATAATTTGAATACATTTTGTGGGTTGATATAAGCTTAAAATATGTGAAATTTGTTGAATTTTTAAACTAAATACAGAAGTAATGTCAACTATATTTTGGCATTTTCAGAAAAATAAACATTCGCATATTGCTTTGTGGTTGCTATATCATTGCTGTACTGTTGCTTATAGGTCCAAGTCAAGAAACCATCTATAAAGTTGTTTTAAATGCACTGCAGCAAAAAGGGACCACTTAATAGAGCGTTGCTGCCATGCTGTCAAAACCTGGTAGACTAAATAGCCATGGATTTCCTAGATTTCCGTGACTTTTTTTTTTTTTTTTGGATGGAGGTGGGGGACGCTTTCAATAAAGTGTCAATTTATTAGTAAAACAAGGTCTGTGGTAAATATAAATTGACGATACTTGGACATTTTCCTCTACAACATAATGTACACTCACCCACACTGAAAACACTAATTTTTAAGCAGTTTTTAATAAGTAACTACAATCACTCCCCTCCTCGTCATTTCTTTCACCTTTGGCATAGTGTGTTACTGGGTAAGACCCTTTAACCAACTTCATGCCGTTAAAAATGTTCTATTTTAAGTGTTAATTATAGCACTGGTAGTAATCAGGCCTGGTTGTGTCTAGTCCAGCTGAGCCCCATTATTAATGCAGTTTCATAGATTTAGGAATTAGTAAATAGAGGGGCAAATACATTTTCACACCTGGTTGGTATTAGATAACTTTTTTTGTTTGTTTTTGTTTTAGAGCCCTTGTGGATGTCATGGATATTTCGTTTAAAGTTCCAGACTTATCAACCATAGAGATATTTTAAAACTCCAAACTACATGTTGTTGCTTAGAACTTTGCATTTACCAAATTCAATATCATCCGTCTTGTCTTCTTCATTTCTCAGACTTATGTGCATCTTCATTTATGTCCTGTACTTCATTGTTCTCTGCATCATTGTTTTTGAGGGTCTGGGTAAAATCATCTTTAAAAATTCTAAAATAAAAGAACAAAATGAAATGAGACCCAGTTTGTGGTTAATGCATGACACAGACTGCTGCCCTTGCTTGGTAAATGTGCGTTACTGGATAAGACCTTTTAATAAACTGTATGCTGTTGATAAAGTTCTATTTAAGTGTTGATTTAATTTATATATATATATGCCGCATATCTACCAGACCTGCACAGATATCAACACTCAGACTCAAAAGTTGTGAAAATAAACAAACATACTTTTAAACTTACTTTGCGCTTCTGTCTCTGATAATTCACGCTTGTTTTCATCGATCAAACTTTCTTGTACGCCATCTTTAGCTAAACACCGAAAGAAGGTAATTTATAATGCATTATATTTGTAGCACATCAATTAAGATGCAAATAAAAGAGCACAAAATAAAGACTCACTTCTAACTCCTGATCTCCTTGAATCTAATTGGAGAAAATTAAGTCAATATTGTTGCACAAATGGGAAACTGAAATTCATATTCATATTTTGAGGTAATGAGCACCTATATGTCTTACCTTTGTTTATTCTTTGGTGAATGAAATAAGCTGCGATCCCCAAGATAATAGCACCGATGACAACTAATATAACTGATAGAATAATATTATTTTCTGATTGTGGTTCATCTAATTACAAGAACATCACAATAAATCATAACCCAACTTCATCAGTAACACTGTACTTCCGCAGCTATTGTAATGTGCATGAAGTAGACCTGTGTTGCAGTCTTTCAGAGTGAAGCTGGTGTTCTTTTGGCTAACTTCATTTTTCACAGCGCAAGTAGAGACTGAACCAGGCTTCTCCTCCTTGCTGATATGAAGCTCTTGGCCAGAGTGTTGTATAGAATTTGATCCAGTCCATTCAAAGGATATTTGGAACTTAGATGAAGCTGAACAGAACAGTGTTTTTGATTCCGTAATCATGTTCAGTTTACAGGTCACAATTGGCTCCTGCACAGCATCTGAAGGAAACATGGACAATACTGGTTTTGTGTTTACTATGTGGTAAATACTGTGGTAAATATTTTTTATAGCAATACTCTTGAGTTAAATCTCATGGCCACAAGATGTGAAACTGTTTGAAACATACACTTACTAGTAAATTTGTTTCGTTTAAGATGCCCATGATATTTATCTTAAAATTCTCACAAATGCCTATTGTTTTAAAAACGTCTCATTCTTTTGCTGTACACAAGTGTTCAGCTTAATATTGTATTTTTGCAGTTTAATTAAATTTTTAAGCTTAAATAATTTTATTCAATTATAATGATTTTCCATTTGAGTCACATCCACTGCCAGTTACCAATACTTTTTTTTTCTGCAAACTATAAATAAATGACTTAGAAAGTTTATGAATGCTGTGTTCATAATATCACAAAATGAACCATCCATGTATCAATAGATTATGGGAGCGTCTTTGCTTGAAAAACCGGCATAGTTGGTAGAGTATGTTGTGCTTTGAATGCTGGTAATTTTCTTGGTCATCCAGCTTCACCAGTTTTAATGGTGAGCAGCATGGCTATGCAGATATGCCAGCCAGGCGACATTAAATTTGTCTTATTTCATTCTCATTTGCATCAAGTCACTTACCAATAACTTGAACTTCATTTTCAGAATTTTGCTGCTTTCCATCGACCTGTATTGCAGACGTATAAATATCACTGTCCTGGCTGGTCATGTTTCGAAAAGTGAGCTGCCCAGTAGTGATTTCAATCCACGATCTTCCTTTGAATTGTCCAAACTCTTGAAATTCAGTCAAATCATGTTCAGCCACCTTGTTTCCATTGAATGTCCACAAAATGTCTTCAGGCTTTCCTTGTATATTTGGATTTAAAGTCAAATCATTTCCATTCTCAACAAAGGTGACAGCAGTTACAGCATCTGAATAACATTTAGAAAGGGAAAGATCATGGTGTGAGGTTCAATCTAAAACACACTGATCTAAAACATCTAAAAGTTAATAACATCATATTTTTTTACAATGAAAATGATAACCCCAATGCAATAGTGTGTTAGCTTGTTTCCTAACAGGTCCTAAATAAATTCTTGGCTGCTACTTGAGCCTCAATTGCCTTTAACATTAGTTCAACAAAGAAATTGTTTTTGTGGATACAGACTAATTCACTGTTTGCTTAACCTGGACATGTTCTGAAATGCTTGACGAAGCACTTGTTATGCAACCTATTAGAACAGCTTAATTAAAAGAACTCCAATTAACAACTTTAATAATAGTTACATTATTATGCAAATGACTATTTTCAAATATAAACCCAGCGGTTGGGTTAAATGTTTAACCCAACCTTCTGGGTAGTAACCCAACTGCTGGGTCAAAACAACACAATTGCTGGGTTTGTCCCTATTTTACCCAGCACTGGGTTGTATTTAACCCAGCATTTTTTAGAGTGTACTTACTGTATCTTGATAATATTAAACAGACAAAAAGAATAAATACTTCCCCGAGCGTTCTCATTTTTCTTTCACTCTCATATTTTTCTCAGCTGTTCCAGGTTAACGGTCTGTCCACCCTCAGGAATCTGTGGTGAGACTAGCAGTGAGTGGCTTTTGTGCATTTGTATGAGTCTGAAACTGTAATTAAAACATGAATGGGTGGGTTATATGTAGACGGGCATGTGACAATTTTACTTCTGACTACACTGTTGTAAGTTGCCACTTCCTCAAATGAAAAAGTTTCCCATTGATATTTAAATGATGATCTGTTTATCCAGTCATGCTAGCTCCGCCCCTTGTTTACAGCTGATAAAGTGATAGTTCACTCAAAAAACAACAAATGTCATTAATTATTCACCCCCTCAAATTGTTCCAAACCTGTATGAGTTTCTTTTTTTCTGCTGAGCACAAAAGATCTTTTGAAATTTTGAAGAATGTGGGTAACCAAACAGTTGCTGGTCCCTACTGACTTTCATAGTACTGTATGATACTGTATGACTTTTTTGATAATCCTCTTTACACCGACATGCGTCACAATATGAAAAGTTATATTGTTACTTGTGTTACATAGTGACTTTAAACATTGCATTACACAAATATGAAAACAGCAAGGACATTACACAGCCAAAGTCTAAATGCAAATTTATTTACATGGTGTACAAAGGGAGTTTTCAGTAGTGATGCTAATAAAAGTCTATGTACTGAAATAAATGAACTTTTCCACGACATTCTAATTTATTGAGATGCACCTGTATATCAAGCACAGACCCAAATATGTTTATATTATGGGAGAATTTCTTGAATTATGAACATTCAACTACAGCTTTACAAACACTATTCATTTGTGGTAGCAGATCAGAGACGTTATAGGCTATTTCCAAATTAAAGCCTCAAAAGTTATCACAAACATAAAAGCACATTTGTTTACATTTTTGAAGCAGAGTACAAAACGAATTCACAAACCTAAAATCAGCATTACTGTTTTTGTTGGTTTGGACGTGTATGTGTGGATTACATGGTAAATGCAAAATTGTCAATTTTTGCATTTCAATGTGTCTGATAGCCTACTGTAATAGACCTTGTCAGGGTAGCACCATATTTAATTTTTAACAAAAGACTTTCAGTAGACAAAGAGTCCATAAAAATAAAAAAAATCTGAAATGTGAAAAGTTTTGAAAATTACATGTCATCTATAACTTTATAGAACACATGCCTTTGTAAAGATTGTAAGTCTATTCCTCACAGCCTCGTTTCATCCATGTAAAATTCAATATGGCGAGGTTGTCAAAGTTTTTTGTGGGGGGTTGTACAAGCTTTTTGTCAAAGTGGAAACCTAATCATTCATGTTATCCCAGCATAACATGATCAGTCACAAACTTGCTTATTTGATTAGCAGGCTGACATAGAAATTAAGCACAACTGTTTTAAACATTTCAGTCCTAAAATTAGTTTATTTTCAGGCTTAAGCTAGACTTTTGAATAGCAGATGTTATTGATGTTGTAGTTCACACATGACTGATTAATGTGTGGAATGTTAAGGATATCGAGTTGAAAAATTTCAACACTAGTGTAACTTCTTTTGCTCGGAAAGCTAAGAGTAACAAATACAACAGAACTGTAAGCTGCCATCCACTCAGTTGTGCAGCACAACTGAAAAAAAGGACTTGTGTGAAAGCACAGTGGTAACTGCTACTTTGATCTGTTTGATCAAATGGTTTGTCAGAGCTGCTATTGACCGGCACTGGTTTATTCTCATACATTAATAGTATTTATAGCTTCTAACATAGTAAAACAGGCTATGTGGCTATGATAAATGTTTACCTGATAGTGTAGATTTGTCATGCAGGTGTGAGGGACTTTATCTAAATGAAATACATACATCTGTCTCGCTCATGTGCCAGTGATTACCCCTCCCCATGCCAATGTTAGCACTCGTGGCACTGGTTCCTGACCCCTGTAGTACATTAAATGACCCACTGAGTGATGTCAAATAACAATTCAAATATGTTTGTCAGGAGTTGATTAGATATGAAATGTTGATAAAAAATCAACCAAATGCTTTTTTTTTTTATTTTACATGTAACTTTGCAGTCAATATAAAATTAAGAACTTATATACTGCACAGTAATATTGCTTAAAAGTGACATGATTACTGTGAATATTATGTAATCATATAATTGCTAAAAAAAGTAACTGTAATCTGATTCAGGGTTTCTACAGACATGAACAAGTTAAATTTAAGACTTTTTAAGACCTTTTTAATACCACCTTATGAAATTTAAGACCTAAACCTCTTCGCGTGAAATTGATTAACTATATGAAGTGGTATAAATATACACATTTTCTGCCCCCATGTCTTGAATTTGTGATCATTTTGAATGTATTTTAATAGACTGAATCATGCAATGAAAGAAGGCACTGTAAATGCGCACGCGCACTAGACTTCACGTAATGCGTGCACTCTGTAGGAGTTTTGAATGTTTTTTTTTGCGTCGTGAGAATATTGAGCAAAATAGCCCACTTGTCATGGTGTTACTTAACTATATCATGTTACGAATAAACTAAACATTTTGCATTTTTACCTCAGTGTGTTTCTTCTGAGTTTATGTGTGCTGTTTAGTGGCAGGTGCAACAGTCGGCACCAAAAATCTACCATCCTTAGCCTGATCGATCCTTTCGCTTTCTCCCTCATCTCTTCAGTTATCCAGGTTTCAACAAGAGCGCCTAAACCTGATATACTGCAAGTTCTTTGACGCAAGTGATTGTGACACACAAAACGAACTTCCTTCACGTCTGGGAAAAATGTAATTGTAAGCTTACTAAACTGTAACAGAAGAGAGTACAATTTCTCACTGCCATAAATTAAACAAAGATTTAACATCTGAACCACAGGTTGAAAATGTAACTGACTTTTTCATAATTTAATTTATTTTTTAACTATATTATTACCACTAATTTCAAGAAGTTCTCGCTCTCTCTGTCTCTCATATATATATATATATATATATATATATATATACACACACACACACACACAC